TGGAATGTCATGATGGGTGGTGGGGCGGGAAGTTCACCTGCGCTTTCGGTTGATCTTGGTGAAGTTGGTGTTGCCTCCTCGGCCCTCTTCGTAGACGAGTCGTACTGGCCCCGGCGTAGACCCGGCATTGCGTCTGTAGCGTGCATTCCGATGTCCATTACACACCAGCGAATTGCGCCCAGCATGCTATACAACACACACGACACACACAACACACACGACACACACGACACGCGGGGCGGATGGCGCCGTACTTGTGCGGAGAGTGAGGTGGTGAAACGTAGCCGGAGTCTTCCTCGTCATCGCCGCTCCTGGCGACAATCGCAGCCTCGAGTTTCTCGCGGCTCTTCCGCCTTTTGTGCTGCTTCGTCGTTGCTTCCGCCTTCTTGCCCTCACCGTCTGTCTTCGCCTTCGCCTTCGCCTTCTTGGTCTTTTCGTCTCCTCTCGCCCTTTTCGCTCTTCCGCCCGCCTTCTTTCGCTCTCTCCCGCTGCTGTTCGACTTGCGCATCCGATCCTCTTTTCCCCGAGCCCTCGTGGTCCGACCCGCCGCCGACGCTCTTTCGGCGCTTCCTGGTGCCCCGGGGAGTGATGATGATGTCACCATCACCGCCCGGCTCAAGGTCGCTGCCCGCAGCAGCGGGCGCGTCGGGGGACAGGAGCGCCGTCGAGTCCGACGGGCGCGCCGTCGCGCTCTCGCCTCCGAACGTCTGCATGTCCTCTCGCGACTGGAGCATCCACTCGTCGAACGTAGAGGCCGGACTCGCTTTGATCGACATCGGCCGCTGCAGCTTGGTGCCGGCCGACCACGTCTTGACCGCTCGAAAGCGCGCGTCCTCTTCTTCATCATTGTCGTCCTCGTCGTCGTCTTCTTCTTCGTCGCCGCCGCCCTTACCGTCGTCGGCCTTCTCCGCGCCCACTCTCTCCGCGGCTTGCCCGTCGTCGGGCTTCTTGGCCTTCTGCTGCGTTTTCGAGCCGCGCAGGGGCACCTTGTCCCAGGTGGTGACCAGCACGGCGGTCAGGTCGCACGACGACTGCGACACGTCCGAGCCGTGGGTGAAGCCGCGCGTGCGCGGGTTGCCGCTCCCCCCGGCGCTGGCCACCGCCCCAGCCGTGATGCGGTCCGGCCAGTGACCCCTGCCGGCCGAGCGGGGCGGGTTCGTGCCGCGGCGCTGCGGCGAGCGCGGGGTAGTCTGCGGGGAGCTGCCGTCCTTCGCGTCCCGCGTGATCCACTTGCCTGGATCGTAACGAGGCCTCGTTCGCATCAGTCTCAGAAGAAGCGGAAGAAGAAGAAGAAGACAAAGAGAACGAACCAGAGGCCTGGATCTTGGTGTCGCGAATGAGGCGCCACTCCTCTTCGCTGATGTGTTCCAGCACCTGCTTCTTCCCGTGTAGCGTGTGTGTCTCGTACGCCGTCACCATCGACTGTCGCACAGCACACACACACGACACACACCGACACCGACACACACACGAAAATACATCACACCACAACAACACACGTAGGGACAAGAAGTGGAATATAATGTAATACAAGAGAATATTATGAGGTAAGAAACTGCTGAGGAGGAGGTAAGAAAAGAAGAAGGCGAGGTAGTGGTGGCGACAAAGAGTGGAGGGGAGGGTACCTTGACGGTGGGCTTTAGGATGCGGTGGCCCGCTACGTCGACCTCTTGCGGGTGGAGCGGGTTGGCCTCAGGGTCATCCCCTCCTTTGCTCACCAGCTGGTCCCCCTCCATTGGGTTCTTGGCCTGCGTGTTCTCTTCCACAGCCTCCATCATCTCCATCTTCCAATCTTTTCTTCTCGGTTCAGCCACCAATTAGAACAGCGCTTTTGCTCGCCAGCGGACCCGCCTCCTCCGCTTGCCGTCGCAAAGTCGCTTCTTGCGTGCGTGCCAAGAGCAGCCCCCTCCCTTCTTCCTCTGTCCTCTCCGTTCAAACGTTTGTGTTCGCGGCCGTGACCGCTTCACTGGGCAACAGCCGCTCTGTTTTTCTGCATTCCTCGCATATTTCGTTACGACGTTACCACGCACATCGCTATGTCGACAAAAATACAACGTGAGCACATGCTTGATCTTGATGTTCAGTCCTGTATATGTTCGAGCTGCAGGACTAGTCATGGTTGTGCGCCATCGCTTGGCCGGACCAGGTCGCTCATCGTCGCCGGTGTCGTGGTGGTGACCACCACGCTCTCTTTGGTCTTCCTCCTCTTGTGGGACTTCGACTTGCTCTTGCCGCCCTCTGAGCCGGGCGAGACGTCGAGCCGGTCGGTGGAGGTCCACGCGAAGCCCAGCTCGTTCAGCTTCTGCTCGCGCTCGAGCGCCATCTTGCCGTTCTTCTTGGCGTATCGCTGCACGTAGATCCACCTCGACAACGCCATGTTGGCTGAACCCAGATGAAACCAAGTGTGAGCGATTGGCGGTCTACACACCACACACACACACACACACGCACACACATACGCGACCACCGCACACAACACGCAAACCACGCGAGCTGACTCACCTGAAATGGGGACGGTCATGTTGCCGTGCTCCTGGCGCCACTTCTTGAGCTCTTCGTACTTTTCGTTCCACGCTCGGTGGCGCTCCCTCACCAGCTGCTCCTGGCGTGACGCGGTCTCGGCGCTGCGCTTTCTCCCTCGCGACTTTGGCTTCGTCGGCGCGGCCGTGGCCAGGGTGGTCGTAGTGGCGGTTAGCGACGGCATCGTATGCTGGGCGCCGCCGTCGGCTTCCGTTTCGCTGCCACCGGCTTCTTCGTCGTTGCCATACTCCTCATCCCCCTCGTCCTCCGCGTTATCCTCTTCTTCGCTCAGTTCGATGTGGCTGTCCTCGCCCTCACCGCTCCCGCCCGCGGTCTGTTGATGATGTCCGTCGTCGTCGTCTTCCTTGGCTCCGTTCTCCTCGCTGCCTTTCTCTTCAGCTTCTGCGCCGTTGTCGTCGTTCTCGCCCTCAAATCTGTCGTCGTTGAAGACCGCCGCCTTGGGACCCGTCACGCGAATCACGCGCGGAGCCGTGGGCAGCGGCGCAGGACTGACACGCGTTTCCGCAGCCGGCGCCGGCGTAGGCGTAGGGGGCGAACGGCCGGTGTTCAGCTGCAGTGCGCGCTCGAGCTCCTCGACGCGTGCCTTGTAGGTGCGGCATTCCTTGCGTAGCTCGGCCAGCCGGCTGTCGCACTCGAGTTTGCCCAGGCGGATGGCCTCCACGGCGTGCGCGTGCACCTGCGTCTTGGC